TAAAATGGGAATATCCTGAACTTTCTTAACGTTTGTAAAGATTAATAAACTTGATTATGTAAATAATTGTCACTGTCAACCTAGGAACTTTAGTTATTCCATATTCAGTTATTTTGACATACCATTTTATATACAGTATTCAACATTGAAGACAACAAATATTGTTACTCCACACAGGTATGAGAAAGTAATTTTCCTAAAGCAGAGGGCTGACCATGATAGTGCTTTATTCAGACTTCAGGGACTATTACCTCCAATATCAAATTATACCCTCCTCTGGAATTTAAAGCCTTTCTCAACATGGGTCCAACCTGTCTTTTTAGCTATATTATATAATAATCTCTATGGTCCAGCTAAACTGACCTTTCCTCTCTGGTACTTTCAAGTGCTCTTCTCACCTCTCCCTCTTTGGATCCTATTTCCTTCAAAGCTTAGCTTAAACACCAACTTCTACTTGAGTCCTTTCCTGATTTGACACACACATATACACCTGCTACTGCCTTTCCTCCTCTCTCAAAAAAAGAAATTACCCTGTATTTATTTTGTATGTTCTTATACAAGTACATATTTTCTTCCCTTATAGAGTGTAAGCTCCTTGAGAGCAGAAACTGTTTCATTTTTGGGTTTGTTCTAGCATTGCTTCTAGCACATAGGTGCTTTTAGATACGCTTGTTGATTGATTACTACTTCATTTAGAATTGTAAGTCCCTACCATTTGGAAAGAATGGTATTAGTGTTAGGGATGCAAAGATAAAAACAGTCTCTACTTTACAATCATATATGGAATAAGACATGTACAAAAAGTAGAATGTAATATCAGCTAATGAAGGATAGAGATGGAGTACTGTATTGCAGAAAGGAGACATCTCTTTCAATTAGGGGGTTTGGGAAAGCTTAATGGAGGAAGTAGCATCTAGGCTGGATCTCTAAGGAAGAGAAGTCTCTGTAGGTCAATGCAAAGTAAAAAAAAAAGCAGAACAAGAAAAAGAGGGTATACTAAGATCATATACGGAAAGAGAAAAAATGACTGAGAATGTTTGGACAAAGAATACCGATAAAGACTTAGGAGTGACAGAACAATTCCCTTGATTCTTTATCATTGAAAGTGAAGTTTAGTTGATTACATTGATAGTCGAATTGTTTTTAATAAAGTAGTTAGTTTTGGGTTTTTGTTGTTTTTAGGACTGTCAACAAGTAGGGATGTGGAGAAAGTATTTTCTGGACTTGGGACTCTTGTGAAAATATGGGGGCAGGAAGGAGAATGTAACGTGAGATTAGGGAACAATTTAGTAGTTCATTTGGCTAGAAGGTAATATATGTGAAAAGGGATTGAATGAAAGGAAAAGTAGATCATAGATAGATTGTAGGGGACCTAAAGCCCTAGGCTAAGGTGTATGTACTTTATCCCCTAGTCTAGACAGTGAAAAGCAGCTGGGTGGTGCAGTAGATGGAGAGCTGGGCCAGGATCAGGAAGACCTCAATTCAAATTACACCTCAGATGCTTTCTAGTTATGTAAACTTGAGCAAGTCACTTAACCTGTTTCCCTCAAATGTGAAATGGAGATAACAATAGTACTTACCTCCTAGGGTTGTTGTGAAGTTCAAATGAGATAATATTTACAAGGAGCTTAGCACAGTGCTTGGCACATAACAGGCGCTATGCTATGTAAGTGCTAGCTATTATTATTAGTGAGTAAGGAAGTGGAGTGGAAACAGTAGGGAAGATAACTTGGAGAAGAGACCTAGAGACAATGAGAAAAAGTAAAGAGTCGGGGAAACTGTAATAATGATCCAAGATGAGAGTGGTAAAATTTGGCAGCTATTTAGATGTGGGAAGTGGGGGGGGGAGGAAGTGCTAAAGAGGACTTAGATTTCAAACCTGAGCAACAGCTAAAAAAAGTGGGAAAGCATAGGAGAGAGGGAAGGTTTTTTTGAAAAGAAGTTGTTAAATTTAGTTTAATTTATCATTTAAAGTGGATTTGCCAATATAAAATCCAGCTGAGAGAGATAGCCATCTAGAAGTTAAAGATATGGAACTGGAGTCCAGAAGACAGATTAAGTCTTACCATATAGTTTTAGGCATCATTTGAAAGATAATAATTAACCCCATGAGAGTAGATGATATCACTAAGTTGGAAAAGATCTCTAAGACAAAGATCTAGGAGACACCTCTGTTTAGAGTGATGGGAAGCGAATGATGACTCAGCAAGGACTAAGAGCAGTCATGTAGAAGGAGAACCAGAAGAGCAGTGTCAGGGAAGCCAAAGGAAGAGAGTGTATCTATGAGGGTCTGATTGACACCCAGAAATTGCAGAGGGGTCAAGGAGAATGAAGATTGAGAAAAGGATATGACTTTAGCAATTGAGAACATAGGTAACCCTTAAAAGATTAATTTGTGTTAAGTGGTGGCATCAGAAATCCAGCTGGGGTGAGGTAGTGAGAAGTAAGTATAAAGGTAGAAACTCTATTATAGGAGTTTGCTAGGAAAGTGTGTATAAGCCCAATCGATTGAAAAGATGATAGGGTCAAGTCAAGTTTTTAAAGAGTAGGAGATCCCCAGATGTGTTTGTAAGAAGACAGTAGAGTAAAAGACAATGAACTATCAGCTAAGCTCCCAGAAAAACAAAATGGAACGGGATAAAAAAGTCTAAGTGGAGGAAGACATTGGCAGTGAGAGGAATGGAAAATGATGGTACACTAAAATGAAAAAAAGTTATCTTAACTGGGTCTTCATTGTTGCTTTCTTTCCTTGCTTGCTTGATATGGGACTCACTGTCATACCCAACAAAATGGCTGTTCCAGAAGTTCTCTTCAAGTCCCAACATAACCACAATCCCTCTGTCTCTTAGCAGATGGCCATATCTTCTACTTTACAAAAGAAATCTGCCTCACCTCCCCTTCTCTACATGACAAAATCTCTCCACATTATCTGTTCATCAGTACAGGAATGGAGCTATTCAAAAGTGAAATGGTTCACCTCAGGATGTAGTAGTTTCCTTCTCACTATAAATCTTCACAGAAGGACTTGAGGCTAGCAAAGACAGGTGATATTTGAGAGGAGATTCCTGTTCCTGTACTCTTTGGATTAGATGGCCTTTTAGGTTCATTCTGACTCTGAGATTCTGTAAACTATACTTGCAAAACTTGTGAAGGGAAGAAAGTAAAGCAAGAGGAGAGGTGATGGATTGAAAGGTGAGGATAAAAAAGTAGGTTTAGGAATGAGGCAGAGGGAAATGGAAGGACAGGAAATAGTGATCAGAGAGGAGGATTTTGTAGTTCAAGATACGGTGGGGACAGTTTGGGATGTTGGTGAGATTGTCAACCTTCTTGTAATCTGAGGTAGAGTGTTGATATAAACCATGTGAGTTGAAGAGGTTAATGAACTGGGAACCCAAAGAGTTAAAGAGATTATCAGGGTGTTTACTGAAGCCCATAAATATGAGGGCAGAGTGAAGGTGGAAAAGAAAACTGTGAAGTAGGTACTGAAATACTTAGGAAAGGAGGAGGAACAACCTGGAAGAACCTATGTTACAGCAACAAGGATCTGGGCCAAGTAGCTGGATAGAATGAGCCTGAAATCAGGAGAGACTGCTTAGTGATAAAAGTAGAGGGAGGATCTGAAAGGGGGCAGTAAGGGACAAGGAGTATTCTTTTTCCTCTTCCTGGCCTTGGTTTAGTGTTCTGAGGCATGAAAGGAACAAATAACATTGTAGAGGGTGGTCAGGGGAAAAATGTGAGAGACAAAGACCTTTGTTGAAGAGAAATCTGTTAAGAATTGGTGGGGTTAGAGAAGAAGTAGTTTCCAGAGGCTCAATGGAAGAGAGAGGGCAGAGGACAATAGGGACTGGGAATGAGGTGGGGTAGGATTGGATGAGGGTGCAGGGAGATAGGATCATAGATTTAGAGCTAGAAGGGACCTGAGAGATCATTTACTCCCACCTCTTCATTTTATAGATAATGAAATTGAGACTCAGAGATGATTTATCGAAAGATTACACAAATGTTAATTAGGAAAGCCCAGATTCAACCCAGGTCCTTTGACACCAGATTTAGTGTTCTTTTGAATAAGATCTCAGAAATTAAAATGTTCCTAATATATTCATGTGGTATGTATTCAGTGTCATATGTACAAAGCACTGTACTAGGCCCTGGGGATATAATTACAAAAAAAATTTGTCCTTGCTCTCAGGGAGCTTACCTTGGGGTGGGGGGAGGCACTAGGAAATAGAACCAAAGGTAAGTAGTGCTGAGGATGTTCGTGCTAGAATAGAACAGAGAGTATTTTTGAGATATGTTGTAAAGGTAGGGAAAGAAGGTAGATATGACAGGAGTCTACAAGTGATTGGTAATGTGAAGTGAGAGTGAGGAATGTAGAATGACATCTAGGTTATGAGCCTGGGTGACTGAGAGGATGGTGGTACCCTCAGCAGTAATAGGGAAGTTGGGAAGAGGAAGGTTTGAGGGGAAAGATAATGAGTTCAGTTTTCAATACATTGAGTTTAAAATGTCTAGAAGACATCCAGTTCAAGATGTCTAATAGTCAGTTGGAATTAGAAGATTAGAGATTGGAACAGAGGTTAGGGCTAGGCAAGTAGATCTGAGAATCATCTGCATAGAGATAATAGTTGAAATCATGGGAGCTGATGAGATTACCAAGTAAAATATAGTAAAAGAAAAAAATGAGTTGAAAGGGACTTGAACTGGGATAGTTCAGGATGAGTAGAGAAAAAGGGACAGATGTGGGAGTTGTTGGGTTAGAATTGAAATTACTTGGCAATTTAATGTGTTAGGTTCCATTTAAAGTGTAAGTGCTTGGTTGGCTTCTATTATAAGTCTCTTAAGTCTTACTTTTCTGACCCAGTTGTTTGGCTTTTTTTCTTCCTGTATCTCAGGCTTGGAGCAGTGATATTTGAGTTCAATTCTGCTGACATTTATTTAGCACCAACCACTGTATTAGGTGCTGGGGAGACAAAGACAAACAATGAAACAATCCCTGTCCTCAAAGAGCCTTCATTCTACTGGGGAGATACAACGTATACACAAGTAAGTAAATGCAAAGTATATATAAAATAATCTAAAGTAATTTCAAGAGAAATAGAGTTTCTAACTTGGGGCCAGGAATCAGGAAAAGTTTATGTAGAAAGTGGTGCTTCAACTGTGCTTTGAAAAAAGTTAAGGATTAAAGGAGATTACAGTAAAGAAGCACACTCCATGAATGGTGATCCCCATTTCAGTGGGAAAACTTCTAACATGCCAAAGTGATTTAGAGGTTGTAAATCTGAGAGATTATTATAAATGTATGGAGTGTATTAAATGTAAAATTAAGTTGCTCTCTAGCATAATTTCTGTGTTTAAAGAATATCTGAATTAAAACAGTGGATTTTTAAATATCTGTGATTATTATTGCAAAATATCCGTGCCTAAAAGTCTTTAGGAATTCTTCTATTTCCATAAAATCAGACCTCACTAAAGTTCTGCTCATGTCTTACATGGTTTCATAGTGGCTATTCCAGTAGAGTGAAAGTTCTGGACACTGATAGTATCATAGATGTTGAGCTAGAAAGGTTGGAAGTTACAGGTCTTCTAGTTTCATCCTTTTATGTTACAGATGAAAATACTGAAGTATAAAGAGTTAATGATTTACCAAGCTGAAAAAGATTCAGGGATAGGCTAGAAAGACTATATATCTTTTGTCTAAGGACCATCCTAGTTATATTTCAACAGGCTCCATGATCATTTTGGCCTTATGGTGAAGAATTTTTCAGAAATAGCACCCCACCCTCACCCCTACAGGCCTGTTAAATTGTAGAAGGATTATAATCTGCGTGGGTGAAGGGAATATTCATACCAGTGAAATTACAGGTCCTCAGTGTGGTGAACTGAGCTACCTGAGGCATCCATCCTGTGTTTCTGCTACTCAGAACTTTAGCCACTTCATATATTCATCAACTTTATTGAGAATTTGCAACAGGCCTAATAGATACTGTGGAGAATATTTCTTAAATACTTGAAGTATTGGTGATTTTGTTTTTATATGAATTCCTTCTGCTTACACAAATCATACCCTTACATACCCTTCCTGTAACACAGTAAAATTGGTTTTTGAGGGATTTTGTGACTGAAAAATTCATTATGCTGTGGCTGTTCTGATGATCAGTTTCTCCATCTAGACTGTTCCAGGATGACCAGTATACAGTTTGTCACCTGAGTCTTTTTGAAACTTTTGCAGTTTGGTGTGAGGTATTCCAGGGTATGGGTATTAAGGAAGAAATAGCACCTCTGGTATGAGGGCTTGCTGAGGACTTTTCAAGGCTGCTTATCTACCTTGGGTGTCCACCTGGCACTCATTTCTCCCCTGTGGTTCCAAGAAGCCACACCCCAGTAAACTGTCTTGAGAGAGAGACTAAACCAGCTTGAGGGTAACTGACAGACCATAAACCACTTGGTGAATTAAGGGAGTGTCTATCCCAAGAGTGTGAAGACTTCCCCTGATGGTATAGGTGGATGAGAACAGTTTGTTCCAAGGGCCGTGAAGGTGGCTAAAGCAGGTGCTATGGAGCACTCGGAGCTTGGTATGGCATTGAAGACACCAAGGTCAATTTACCGCATCCCAGGCCTTTGCCAGTAGTCCTGACTTCTGTCTTGCCACAGGACCAAAATGACTTAGGAAGAGTGAGTGCTGCTGATGACTTTGTGAGGCTTAAATCCGGTTCATGCATAAATCAAGACATCACCATGATGTCATTGGTCACCTTCGAAAAGGAAGGACGAACAACAAGGCATGCCAGAGCTTGACCTGTGAGAATTTAGTATTACTTTCATCCCAAAATTAAATATTAAAGGAGGAGCTAGGCTATTGACTCATCCATTAAGTCATGTACTGATTGCTATTTTATTCCAGTTGTTGGGTTTTATAATATTATGCAGTCCTCTTTCTGTCTATATCTCTGTAGAATATATATTTTATATATTCATTTTCTGTATTTTCAAAACCTTTTTAGCTGCCATTTCCTGTCCATGATCAGCTTTCAGTTCTGTTAAACAAGCATTATTAAACACTATTTGAACAAGGATGACATGCAAATTAGGAATTTTCATATTTTACTTTCCTGTTGCCTACAGATGTAACTGTAGCTTCCTTATCGTTAAAAGAAACTTTCACTTGATCCTGTTATAATCTCAAACTGTCATCAAATACATGTACCTCTTTTCCCATCCATAGCAATCTCTTAGGAAAAAAAATAAACTCCATTCCCTTCCTTCCCATTCACTTTTCATCCCTTTGCAAACTGGTTTATGACTTCACCATTTGACTGCTCTAATAATACCAAATGACTCCTTACTTTCTAAATCAGATAGTCTTTTTTCTTACCTTAACCTTCTTAACATTTATGCATCCTTTTATACTCTTAATCACCCCATCCTCCAGTATACTCTTGCTTCCCTGGGTTTTTTTTTGAGGCCCCCTGCTCCTGGTTTTCCTCTGACTGCTTCTCAGCCATCTTTGCTGGCTCATCATCTGTGTTTACCCATGATACTTGGTTATACTATAGGAAAATGCCCTGGGTCCTTTTCACTAACAAAGAAGATATAAAGAGAGGTCTTGTCACCTGAGTTCACTTATCTTTTCTTTGTAGATGTTATTGGTAGATGAATCTACTGGTTCAGCCCTCTCTTCTCTGGGATTGAGTTCTACATCATAAGCTGCTTGTTGGTATTTACATCTGAATATCCCCTGGTTTTATACAAGACATGTACAAAATGGAGCCTGTTTTCTTTTCCCCCTTTCCCACCCCTATTCTGAACTTCCATTTTCTTTTAAGGGCACACCATTCTTCTAGTCACTCAAGTTTGCAATCCTAAAGTCATCTTCAACTCTTTCTTCCTCAGCCCCTTATAATCCACTCACTGCCCAGTCGTTTTGAGTCTGCAACATCTCTTCATCCATCCCCTCCTTTCTACACGAGCAGTGATAACTTAATTCAGGTCTTCATGCCTCTCTCTTGGACTGTAATAGTCTCCAGATAGGTGTCCCTGCCCCAGTACCTCCCCTGTCCAGTCTTTCATCCACATAGCTACCAAAGTGAGAGTCTTAAAGCATAGGTTTGGCCATATCATTTCACTTAGAACCTCATTGTTTTTAGAATGAAACATAAACTTTTTTGGTATGTAAAATCTCTCACAATCTTTAACCTGCTTTTCCAGATTGATTTCATGTTACTCTACTTTGTGCATTTTATATTCTAGCCAAATTGGGCTACTTGGCATTCCCTGAACTTGGCATTCTATCTCCCTGCCTTTGCACAGGCTATGCATGTGCACACCCAGGACTGGAGTGTTCTTCCCTTCTCTCTCTTAGAATCCTTACCTCCCTTGAAGGCTCAGCTGATCTTCCTGCAAAAGATCCTTTACTTATCTCCTAATTGTTAACACTCCACTCCGAACTCATTTGCTTGATATTTATTTTATATACTAATCTGTTATGAGCTGTAGTTCCTAGAGGGCATGGAGTTCTTTGCATTATCTGAATTGTCATTTCAGTGTGTTTAACGGAATTGGCACTTAATAAATACTTACTCAATTGAATTCATAAGGTATTATGAACTCTGTTCTCTTTGTATTCTATTATCTGTCATCTGCTATGAAAGTTGCCTCACTTGTCATTTAAGGTCTTACACATATTATCTACATACATGGGGAGAGTGTGTGTGTGTGTGTGTGTGTGTGTGTGTGTGTGTGTGTGTGTGTGTGTGTGTGTGTATTCATATATCCACACATTGATGTGGTGGACTTTATGCCTTTTTAAAATCAAATTTTATTTTTTTTAAATATTTTTTTCTCCCTCCCATCTCCTCCCGCACTGGAAAAAAAAAAAGAAAGGAAAAGCAAAACTCTTGTTAAGATATGCATAGTTCTTTTAACACTGATTGCTTCACCAAAATGCAAAAAAAAAAATGCATAGTCAAGCAAAACAAATTCACATATTGACCATGTCTAAAAATAATGTGTCTCATTCTGCACATTTAGTCCCATCACCTCTCTATGAGAAAGTTTATAGCATGCTTCATCCTAAGTGCTCTGGAATTCTGGAATCACTGCATTAATCAAAGTTCTTAAATGTTTCATAATTGTTTACTTTTTTTTTAAACAATTTTTAATAGTATAAATTGTTTTCTTGGTTCTGCTCACTTCATTCCATATCAGTTTATACAAGTCTCCTGAGATTCTCTGAAATCATCTCCTTAATTATTTCTTGTGGCATAATAGTATACTAGTACATAAAGCCAGGGTGCTATATAAATTCTAATGTCCCCTCTCTGTGTATTTTATTTGTTCTTTCTCTATACTTATGATAAAAACTATTCTCTTTTATGTATACTTGCATACTATTTTGAGCATATATGAGGCTTTGAGTGTCTGTGGAAATATTTTAAAAGTTATTAATTTTTAAAATTACTATATGATGTGGGTAAAAATAATTATATAGAGTTTTCTTGGTTACTGTATTACTGAAGTGGACTTTTGTTATATTAAATGTATTCAGTCCCTCAAATAACTTCAGAACCTTAAGATGAAATATAATTTATTATATTGAATTAGCAAAGTGGGGGGGAAAGTGCTTTGAATTCATTGTGGAAATTAGGGGGTTGTTGTCTGCTTTGTATCTCCATTCCTTTTAAGTTCTGGAATCATTTATTTTATTGAGCAGTTTTATAAGTTGGTAAAGTTTTTCTAGTGGTGGTTATTTGAATATTTGATTAGGGAAGAGGGAATTAAAGAGTCACTTTAGCTTTGTAGAAAGACAAAGGAAACTAAAGCATTGAGATTTCTTCTTTTCCTTGCCAATTATGCAAATAGTACACAATTAGGTTATACAGAGTAATCATTACTTGCATGGCCTAGAACTGGAGAAGGCACTTGGAGTGGATTATTCTTTGTAGAAAATTCATTTCATTGAAACTAAACTGGCAAAGAAGTATTATTAATACCTAATCCCCAGCAGATGGATATAATTTTATTTTATAGAACCTTTCTTGGTGGTGATATTCATTCTAATGGAATTTCAGCAGCATTGATTTTAGGATTTTCAAAAATGACTTTCATTCCCTGTTCTTGTTGCCAGTATCTCAAAATATGGCCTAAAAATTTGATTTCATAGAAAAACTGAGTAGAAGTAGGTTCTACATTATGGTGTTGCGTGATAAAGCTAAGTAATATTTTTGTGTCAGTAAATGTTGATAAACAAGTTAGAGTTATTTTCCTTTGTGGACTTTTTAGTAACTTTTTCTGACTTCATGATGACCATAATTTTTTTATTACAGATTTGGGAGAAGAAATCTAAGTATCTGAAATTAGTGTTGATACAAAAATTTATCTTCAACTCAGAATGTTGGAAGAGGATGTGGAAGTGGCCATCAAGGTGGTGGTTGTTGGGAATGGAGCTGTTGGGAAATCAAGTATGATTCAACGATATTGCAAAGGCATTTTTACAAAAGACTACAAGAAAACAATTGGAGTTGATTTTTTGGAGAGACAAATCCAGTATGTACTTTTTTTTTCACCCTTTCGGTTTTGGATATCCTTATGAAGAGGCAGTATGATGTGGGAACATTGAATTTGAAGTTGGAACATGTCTGAGTTAGAACTTCTGGCCCTTAATAGCTGTGTGGTCATGGGCAAATAACAGTCTGAATTTCTTTATCTGTAAAATAGAGGTGATGTCTATGATACCTACCTTACTAGGCAGTTGTAAGAATAAAATGAGATAATTTATGTTGGTGTTTTATAACTTTAAAGTGCTGTGTATATAGGTCAGTTATTACTGTAACACTAATTTCACAAACATGTTCAGGGGCAGGTTTCCTATGGCAGTGGTTGAGTAATGGCACATGAGGCATTTGTTGATGCTATACTATTTATTATCTGTATGCGCCTCTTCTCTATTTCTGCTACTTCTTTCCTTATTCTTTTTTTCTCTTCCCTTTTTTCCCCTCTCACTTTCCTTCCTTTCCTTTCTTTTTTCTTTTCCCCTACCAGCAGCATACTCACTGATGACACTTGACTTACTTTAGTTAATTTTTGGCTCTCAGAAAAATGAATTTATAACTTGTATAAAGAAGTTTTACCTGCACCGACATAGGATGTCCTTTTGTTGGCAGAGAACACATTGATGTTAAAGATTTGGTAGTAAAAAACAGATTTGGAGAGGATTAAAAACTTGTTGGTTAAGAGAATAGTTAATTTAATTAAGGATTGAATTTAAAGAGAAGACAAGATAGCACTTTGACAAGATAACACTTTTTGTTGATCCTACCCAGTTTTGAGTAGGGCAGCAAGGAAAGGGGTGGAGATACCATGTGAATAAAGGAGCCTGTTTCCCTTCCTGGGTGTCCCCAAGAGTTTGTATCGACCAGCTGGTTATAGCTAATCATATAGAAATCCAGTCAACATTTAAATACCTGTTATGTATAAGGAACCATAGTAGGCAATAGGCATAATAAGAAACAGTTCAAGTCTTCAGGGAGCATGCAATCGAATAGAGTGACAGAGTATATATTATAGTAATTTGTGTTCAAGATGGGGTGTGATAAGTATACAGGAAAGATCTAAACAGAGTTCTGTGAGAAGTTCAAGAAGGGAAAAGTCACTTCTAGCTGGGATTATCAGAGAAACCTTTGTGGAGGAGGACAGCACATTAATTGGGCCTTAAAGTAAGAAGAAAATATGAGTAGAGATGTCGAAGGAGTATTTTCAGGCTTATCGATGCAAAAGAATGCAGTGTGAAATCAGTGTGAACTATTGTTCAGTTTTCTGGGAAGGTAGAGTGTGCAGAGTGAGGGGCAGAGTAAAATAATGTAGAAAGCTAAGTCAGAGCCAGAGTGTGGGGACTCTTATATTCCAGACCATGGAGTTTGCACTTTATGCTGTAGGCAGCGAAGCAGGAGAGTGACAAGGGAAATGTGTGGTAGATGTATTGAAGAGGGTTAGAAACTAGATGCAGAGGAGTACGTAAGAGGCTGTTACAGTGGTTTAAGCAAACTGATATGAGAACTTCAATTAAGATGGTAGCAGTATGAAGTGGAAAAGGGAGGAAGGAGTTGAAAGAGGTTGTGCTAGTACAGGTGGTAAGACATGGTGATTAACTGTATACAGGAAGTAAAGGAAGAATTAAAGAGGACTTTGAGGAAAACAAAAAATTCTTTGCTATTGTTATCGAGGAGGGAGAGAGGAGGTGAGATATGGGGGAAAGTTAAGAAGCAAAAACAAAAGATATCAATAATTTTTTAAAAAGAATTCTGGAATTTCAAGCTTGGGTAATGGGTAGGGTAGCAGTACCATGAACTGATATAAATAAGCTAGGAGGGGAAGGGCAAGCTTTGGGAGGGATGGGAGTAGAAAAGAGATGAGTGTGTTCAAAGCCAGGGTAAAAGCAAAAATAGAGGCAAGAAAGGGAAAGATTCTTATGAGAGACTTAATGTTAAAGCAACACTGCCAAAATCTATCTAAAAAGGTAGTTCATTTATTATATATTTATTTACTATATATTTTCTTATTTTACTCATTCCTTTTTATGAAATGAAGGATTAATTGGAAGCAAACAATACATATTTGTTAACACAAAGTTAGTATTAAAAGTGCTAAAAAACTTGAAATTTAACCTTGACAAGTCTGATTTTACTAAGTTGGCTGATATTCAGTAAAAACAAGTAATATTTTTAAGAACTTCAGTTTTTAAAAAATCAAAATATTGAAACTTCATTGAATTTTTCCACTTAAAATTTGAATTAGCATGTCTTTTTTTTTTTTCAGGGTTAATGATGAAGATGTCAGGCTAATGTTATGGGATACAGCAGGTCAAGAAGAGTTTGATGCAATAACAAAGGCTTACTACCGAGGTAAATTTTGGTTTTGTTCTTCTTTTGTCTGGTTCTTATGGATAAATAAGAAAATTCAGTTTTGTTGCCTAATATTTTCTCTTTAGGAGTAGTTACAATATCAACATATTTTAGAAACCCAAGCTCCTAATGTTCTTCACACCTAAGTAGGTGACTAGTAGTACCTTATTTTATAGTAAAAATCATATTGGGGCAGCTAGGTGGTGCAGTGGATAGAGCACTGGCTTTGGAGTCAGGAGGACCTGAGTTCAAATGTGGCCTCAGACACATAATACTTACTAGCTGTGTGACTCTGGGCAAGTCACTTAACCCCAATTGCCTCACAAAAAAAAAAATCATACGGACATCTTGAAGTTATTTTATCTAAATTTTGTAAATCATAGAAAAGCTGTGAATTTTTATTCAAGAAATCAGAACAAAATTTACTTGTCCAAAAGTATTGGTTCTCGCTTAGTAAAAGTAATAGCTAATTATAAAGATATGGGATCCTTTATAAGACCTAGTCTAGTCCTTATCAAAGGGAGTCTTCTTCGAGCAAGAAGTTTCTGTACTGTCCTTACCAATAAGTGCTTACTGAGTGTCTACTGTTTATTCAACATTATCCTAGGCTTTGTGGGAAACATAATAAAAGTATAAGATGTTCCCTTTCTAGTTGAAAAGATAAACCTAGTATTCTTGAAATAGCTGCCAAAAAAGGAGAGAAACTATAACTAAGTATTAAATTAGATAATATAAACTATAAATAATAAATTCAAAGGAGAGGAAGATAAATGAGGGTGGAAAGAGCAATAACTATAAGATTAGAACTTCAAAGTCAGGAGCTAGTAATAAAAACTTCAGGTCTCTAAATGAGGCTGAGGTGAATAATGATTTCCTGTAAAATACCTCTTTTACTGTTAGAATTTTAAAATGTTATTTTTTTGGATTAGTTTGTTTCAACAGTGACTATAATGTATTTGTAATAGCATAGCACTAAATAAATTTATTTAGCACGTACTCAGTATCATGTTATGCAGCCTATTAACACTAAGTAAATTCTTCAGTCAATCTGTAATCTCATCTAATCTGTTTAGATACTCCTTTCCTTCAACTTTTTAGATTTCAACCCATAAGTGCTCTCTTATCTCATACAGCTCTTGTTCATGTCCTGCCAGTACGCTAGAAGCAGACTTCTTCATCTTTTCATAATGTATGGGTACCAGTGTACCATCAAATTGTCTTATCTGTTATGTCTTGTCCAAGCTATATGACTGAGCCACCTCCTTTTCTGGGCAGACATTTCTTGGCTTACATCTTTTATACTATTTCTTAGTGGGGCAGACCTAAAGAATCTCAGAGTTGGAATGCACCTAACTGGCCATCAAGTCCGAAACATCTACAAAAGAAACCCTTGCTGTAATATACCTGATGCGTTCATTCAGTCTCTGCTTGAACACCCCAAGGAATGGGAACCTACCACCTCTTTATGCCTTGCTCCGTTGCTTTTTTCTCTATGTTTTATTCCTATATAGTAGAGGTATTCTTTATTTCTGTAAATATTCAATCCATTTCATCTCAGTGATCAGTTTTGGTGGTTTATAATTGGGCAAAATTATTTTGAATAATTTCCTTTATTTCCTCTTTATTTGTTGTAAATTCTTTTTTTTTTCATTTTTTATTCTGACAATTTCATTTTCCTGTACTTTTCTGATTATATTAACTAATATTTTGTTAGTTTTTTAGCTCTTAGTTTTATTTGCCAGTTCAGTTGAGGTTTTTCTTGGTTGTTTTAATTTTATCTGTACTTTGATTTCACAGTTTTCTCTTTTTGTGTTTAACTGGGTATTTTGATTTGTTGTCATTTTTTTAGTTCTGTGTCCAGTTTAATGAACTATCTTTTCTTTCTTTGATGAAAGTATTTAGAGATACACATTTTCCCCTAAGGACTGCTTTGGCTACGTGCCAAATGTTTTGGTGTATTGTCTCATTGTAATTTTCCATTCTATCATATTCTCTTCCACTTTTTACTTTATTTACCCTCCTCTTTGCAAAGAGGATAGTAAAAGACTTATCCTATTCCTTTATTCTTGTTCTCTTAATCTCATCTGGACTTCAAATATTGGTTCTTATACTTTTTCTATTCTCTTAATTTCTCTTTTATGATGAGTTGGAGTTTGGAAACTTGTGACTATTCCTTCTCTAATGAACTCTCTTTCTTAAACCTCTTGTCTACTTTTCACATGTTTTTCTACACCAAATTCTCCTTTGCCTAGCTAAATAAGAATGGAGGTTCGTTGGTTTCCCACTCCTCCATGTTTATACTTTTCTCAGGCACCCCAGTTATGAGATATAAGTTCTCCCTTCTTCATTTCTTCCCTACTGTATTCTTTTTTCTTTCCTTTTTCTTTTCTCTCTTAAAACCAATAAGAACAAACAAAACTAATCCCCAGATCCTGTGTTTTTCTTTCTTCCTTATGGCTTCTGAAGCCAGAGCCATTCCAAAAGGATACCTATCTTTTCTCCCTCTAATAGAATCTAAGCACTTCTTCATCATTTAATCATCTCCTCTTGCTGAAATGCATTTACCTTTTGCATTTTCTGTTATGGTTTTTTCCCTCTATTTCTTCTTCTATCCAGCCTCAGTTTTTGGACTAGGACTTTGTCCTAGAGCCATGCTTTACACCTTTCTCATACTCTTGGATGGGGAAGGTGGGTTCTGCTTAGCCTATCCCTTCTCACCGCTGGATATTTCTGTAGTTCTGAACGTTTTCACTTTTACTTGGCTCCATCCTCTACTTCATTGCCTGCCTTCTGCCTCTCTTTTCCATTGGCCCAATGCAAGTCCAGTCTCTATCTACTTCTTGCACAATACACAATCAAGAATTTACTTTATCCCTTGCTTTGGCCTTGTCAGTCTTAATCTGAGGTTAGAGATTGTGATGATCTTGGACCTCTTGGAAGGCTGCCTCTTGTATCTCTTATTGTTAAACTGGCCTTGCCTCCTGCTGTTACTTTTAAGTGCTCTGAGTCATGGCTCTGTCTCTTGCTGCTGTCCTGAGGGTCCAGTGCTAAAGTCCTAAAGACTGGGCTGGCTTCAGACCCTTTTATACCAGAATTTGCACTGGCTTCTGATTCCCACATTATTATCCTTCTCTGAGTGCCTTCAAGCTTCTAATTATCTATGTATGAAGTCCTGGACTAAATGGTACAGTTCCTGTTGTTTCCCTTATTCCATCTGGTGTTTGTTAAGTTGGTGCTCTTTTAGATCTGTGCTGGCATGTGTGTGAGAGTTGGAGTGTTCTAGGAGCTTTCATGTTACAGTCTTAAAAGGAGGTCCCCTACCTTATTGAATTTCATCTTGTGGGTTCAGCCCAGTTCACTAGTCTGTCAAAATCCTTTTGGATCCTGAGTATCATCAGTTTGTTAGCTTTGTGATATCTTGAAATTATCTGAGCTTGCTATCTGTATCTTTATTCAAGTCATGTATGAGTACATTAAACAGCACAGGGCCAACCATAGATATCTGAGAGACCTCCTACCTTTTAACCATTAACGATTTCTCTTTGAGTCTTACCATCTAATCCTCTCAGAATCCATCTCTACTCCATATATCTCCATTTGTCCACAATGATAGTATGATATGCTTAGCAAAAGCTTGGTTAACATCTAGGCAAACTTTATTCACTGCATTCTCATCTACTAGTTTACTAATCTTGTCAAAAAAGAAGATTAGTTTAGACTGGCATGGTCTATTCTTGATGAAGTTGTGCTAGCTCTTTATAATCACTATTTCTCTTTCTGAATGTTTGCCAGCCATCTTTTCTTTAATAATTGTTCATTGCAGGACAGACAGGTACTTCCTACTCAGAGTGTTTAGCTCCTTCCTCTTTAGGTAGAGTCTCAAACTTTTTTGTAAGCTCTAATTATGTAGCTGTCCTTTTCTTTTTTTTCTGTATAAACACTCTTGTATGCTATCTCCTCTGCTCATTCTCAGATCCCCTTCTTTGCTGTATTAAAGCTTCATTTCTCTTTACCTTAGAAACCCTTCATTCTCTCTGACAACCTGAAGGTATGGAGAAGCTTTCTGAGTCCCTGCATATTCTCCAGGAAGATCATCCTACTCAAGGAACACAAATAACAGTCACTTGACTATGGCAGAGATATAAATATTGCTCATTTGATTCAAGGCACTGCACAATTTTCCCTCTTCTCCATGATGATTGAGACTTTCAGCCTTTTTTTTTTAAACTGCTTGAGTATGTTTATACCTCAACCCTAAGTACCTGGTTAAAACTTTTATAGCTAATTAATACCTCCCTCAACTTGACAGGCCCACTTACCTTCTTTTACCTAGTCTAGATAACAATTCCACATCTACCTCCCTTTCAGCCTGTTATCTCTTACCGATTTGTCCCACCCACCAACCCACTATCCTCTTAATTATCTTTTTCTAATTTACTCTGCCTTTCCAAATATCTTCTCCTTCTTCTTGAATCTACCACTTCAGGTTGTACTCCCTAGTCTATTTTGATTTGCCTTAATTCTCTTCCTCTATTCCTTCTCCCATAATCTCCCACAGAAGCTGGAAATAGAATCAAAATTGGAAAAAAAAATTTGTAGACTTTATTAATACTTATATTGCCAAATTCTGATTGATAATATGTCTGTATACACTTACTATTTTTCTTTATTGTGTTTTTGTTTACCTTCATTTTGATTCAGTTTTTTCTGTTTTATGATTTGTAGCCGTATAGCATCTCTGTAAGGGTAGCTAAAAGGCACAATGGATAGAGCACTGGCCTTGGAATCTGGAAGACTCTTGTTCATGAGTTCAAATCCAGCCTCAGACACTTATTAGCTGTGTGACCCTGGGCAAGTCACTTAACCCTGTTTGCCTAAGTTTCCTCATCTATAAAATGAGCTGGAGAAGGAATGGCAAACTACTCCAGTATCTTTGCCGAGAAATCCCCCAAAAAAGTGCTCATGAAGAGTGGGACACAACTGAACAACAAAAAGTATCT